AAATAATATTTTTTAATAAACCCTTTTTCATTCGACATACTTTATCTTAATCGAGATATTAATAAGGAACCAGCAGATCAAGTAGCTTTTGGAATAAAACACCAATTTTTTTAAAATTAAACACTATCTAAAGATTTGCATCGAAGCGGTTATTTTTGATAGTGATTTTAATCACTGTCAGATATCATCTATACGGACCCAACTATGCCACGACCCCACTGTGCTGGGTTTTGTTTTTTTAAAAGTTGAATTAAAATATGTATAATGACATACTAATAGTCCTCATTGATTGGAATTGAGCTTTTTTTTTTACAGCCTCGCAAAAGTTCAAAAATATGAGCTTTTTTAATTTTCTGAAAAAATATTTAACTTACAAAAAAAAGTTTCATAGAAAAGTTGTTTAAAAGACAATTATAAACAAAAAAAATTATCATATATTTTTTCATTTAAACAAATATTTTTCGAGTTACATTACATTTAATATGAGTACTAAATATTGTATTCCATTTTTTTCATTTTACGGTTACTTTTTATCATGTTATACTTACATTAGACACAATGTTATAAATGAATATGTGTGAGTTTATTTATTTATTGTATCATTAAAGTGTAGTGTAGTGTAGTATATTAATATACAAGCGATAGAGTAGGTAATTGATTTGACGCTATATTGTTTAAACCCAACTAAACACTAAATTGTACATTCCCAAACAATCATATTATGTCAATTGCCACCGTAATTTCTGGTAATCTTTTTCTTTGCCTTAATCCCAATTACTTGGGGTCGACCACTCTTATCCTAAGCTTTCACTTGACACAATCTTCCACATCTTCTATGCTCACATCAGCTGTCCTCAAATCGCTTTCAATAGCATCCCCCATCTCTTTTTTGGTCTTCCTCTATCTCTTCTTCCTTCCACATTCATTTCTATAACTATTCTTTGAGATTCCGATTCCTCTCCTCATAACATTACTAAACCATCTAAGTCTATTTTCTCTCATCTTATCTACAACTGATACTACGCCTATATTCCCTCTTAAATGTTCAATCCTTGTCCCATCTTCTCTAGTTACTTTATTCATCCATCTAAATATTTTCATCTCTGCTCTATTCTCTTGTCAACCCCCAACACTCTGAACCATTTATTATAGCTAGTCTCACAACTTTCTTATAGAATTTGCGTTTCAGCCTCTTTGGAATTCTCTTACCACATAGCATACTAGACGCTTCTCTCCTTTTCACCTACCTACACTTAATTCTGTGTCTTACATCCTTGTCAATTATAATATATTAAATTAAAATTAAATATAAAATTATGAAAACAATATAATTTTCGTTTTATTTTGTACATAATTGAGGTTGCATTTTTCTCACAGTTAACATTATTATTTATTTTATTAATACTATTAACTAGTAATTTCCAAGAATAATATATTAACATTTAACATATTGTCATTGTTGATGTCTTTGGTACTCTAGCTGTAGGTATATTATAAGTTGGCCTAAAGCTTTTGTACCTAAGTGATTGGCATTTGATATTGCAACTTTTATTTTTTAATTTAAATTATTCATACAATACAATATAAAATCAATAATTTATTATTAATAACTTTAAAAATGATACTACAAAAACAATTTAATATAAATTTAATTTTGGATAAAAATAAATTAGTTAAAAAATAAATATCATTGAAAAAATTGATGTACAATTATTTAAATTTTGTTAAAACAATTTAATATTTTTTGTACAAAAGACAAAATTAAATTATTAGTTCATGTTTCACACTAAAAATTCATCTATTAATATATTAGATAAAAATTAGTTAACTATTATCTTATTGGTTAGAAATTAAAAGATGACTTCTGATTTGTGTATGACTTAAACAACATTTCCTTTATTGGTTATTTTTTACTTTGTCAAATAAACTAGAAAAAAAATGTTGACGCTTTAATGTGAAACTGGAAAGCTATAAATTATACTATGATGTGTTTATGTATACATGATTTTTTTCTATTTATGAATTTATCAGCAGAAAATTGAAAATTTTACTTCAGTTTTTTTTTTGGAAGAATATCATAAAAAATAGCATTATTTTCACTTTCTAAAAAATATATCAATAATTAATAAGTTAAGTAATGTAACCTTCAATAATAAAATTTTCTGGAGGCACTAAAATATCTTCTTTTTTTACATTATTACTAATGAAACATGATATTTTCTTAAAATTTGGATAAAAATTAATTATTTCGCTTCATAACTATCAACCTCTATATATCCATTTCTATCATAACTTTGAATTTTTAAGAAAAATTTAGGTTATGTTACTTTACCTTACAATAATATGATTAATTAATGATATAAAATAGTTTCTACTATATACAATAGTTAATAATAATAATTATTAATTATTAGTAACAATAAATAATAGTTTTACACTAAAATATTAATAACATAAATTTAATAATTGTAAAGTTTTACATTAGGAATGATTTATCTGTGAGAATAGTTTTACAACTCAAAATGTTATTTTTCTGATTTTTGTAGTTATAAAATTTTAAACTAAAAAATTTCATTTTTATTTCCTGTAAAATTTGAAGCATTTATGTTATATTATCCTTATAGCTAGACATTATAAATAACCATTTATTTGGCATAATTAATATATTTAAAAATACATATATTTTTTATGAAATTTATTTTTAATACTATCTAATAGTTAAAGTATGTTTGTAATTTTGAACTAAATATATAAATCATTTATGTTTTTAGAATTACCATGGGAAACACCTTCTGATGATGAAGTTGAGTACAAGATATGGAAAACAACTGATTATGCTAATCATTCACCTTGGTGTAAATTGGATACATTAGCTTTATCACTAGTTAGAAAAATATTGATACCTACACCTTCACGTCGATATGATATATCCAAAATATGCTCTCATCGCTGGTTCAAAAAATCAAAATCGAATGGTATAATTTATTTATACTTAAATTAAGCTTTGGTTTAACTAAAATAATCTGATACGCGTCCAGGTACTAAGTGACTTCTGAGTGAAATTAAAAATTATACATCAGTTGGCTCTAAGTACCTCTAACGTGTGGCAGATTCATTTTATCTATATATCTTTTTATTAATTTTGTATAACTAATATTTCTTAAGATGTTATAACAATGCTGTTAGTACATGATAGGGAACACAAATTAGCCTCTAAACTCTTGTTATTGCACATTATTGCGGTCAAATTCATAATTAAATTGAAAATACATTGTCACATTAAATTTGTTATCCAACTGTAATAAATTATAAATTACCAACCCAACAAAACACTGGTAAAACACAATATGTGTGGACTCTAGTAGAAACTTCCCAAGCTCATAACTTTTAACTATATTCCGCCAAAAAAATTTGCTCATACATTTTTTTTTAATATTATTATTGAAAAAGGCCTTGACTTCTGATATCATTGGTCAAATTAATTAATGTTCATAATGATTACATTAAATTTTACCTTTAATTTTTATTGACTTGATAAATCTTAATGTCTTCTAGAGGTCTTGAACCAAAATTATTTTTTTGATTTTTGGTATTACAGGTGTTCATAAATACAGGTTTAATGGGTTCTATTTTTTTAGAATTCATATTTTTTTAATTTTAAAATACAATAAAATGTTAATTGTATCAAACATTATAAAACTTATAAAAATTAAAAATTATTATTTTATAATTATTGAAAATATCTATAATTGATTTATTATAATATCATTATATTTAGATATTGTGGTAAAATAACAATATAGAAGTTCAGAAATATATTGTAGAAAATGCTTATTTAATATAATTAATATCTAATTTTAAAGTGATACCTGCTTATATAATTTTATTAACTATAGATCATGGTTTATGAAAAAAAATTAATAAATATCTAACTGCTTTTTACTTTATAGTTGATAAGTTTAATATGCCTAAATATTGTGACAATGATTTTGATGAAGCACGCCCTTGTTATTCACAACCTGCCCCAGCAGCTAATAGTTATCCAACTGTATCTATTCTACCAAATGAATCTGAAATTTATTCATTTTCTCAACCTACTCAAGTTGAAGATTTATTATTATCATCACAACTATTATCATCACAGCCAGTTACAACAGTAACAAATGTAATAAAACGTTTTTTATTTCATAATTTATATAACATGGATTAACTTATATTTATTTATAATTTTTAGAACTCAATTCAAAAATTAGTTAGAAGAATGACTAGGTTTATTGTAGTGTTATCACCAGAAGAAGCAATAGCTAAATTGTCTCAATTTCTCGACAATTTAGGATATACATGGAAAATTAACTCATCTAGTTTGGTATGTAACTTCAAACAATAATTTTTTTTGATAAAGGTCGTATCTTTGAAAATACTGTCAAATAATTTTTAAATCATCATCATTAATAAAATCTATAAATGGTATATCTATAAATGTAGACGAATAAATAAATATTTTTTTCAAAAAATGAAAATTCCTATTATTTTCTGAACACACCTCATATGTCATTATCTCTTTTTATCACTTCAAAATACATCATTAATAAAAAAAGCTTCAATTCATTAAAAAAATTTCAATTTTAACAAATACTTATGGATAGATACTTTATATTTTACTCTGATGTCACCATCTAATTTTTACATTTTGTACACCAAGAAATGATTTTTTGTAATTCTTAACAATGTATTTTTTTCGCTTTTTCTCTTTAGAGGTACAAGGATTTTAGTATAAAGCTCAAAACTTGTTAATTTTGTGTTTGAACAATAAAATAAAAAAGGGTAATCGTCCAACTTATAATTTTACATATATTTGGTATTTGGTTTTAAATTAATTTTTATCAGATATTAAGTTAGTACATACATCTAGTTCAGGTACGGAATAGAAGACGTTTTTTTAATGGGCAGTATTTCATTATTTTTAATAAAATGAGAGATGTTTTTTAAAAATAAGACCTTTTAGTTTTTGGGATGATGCATTGTTTTTATGTGCCACCTTTTGCAAAATTCCTATTATTTTCTGAACACACTTTGTAACTTATAAGGGTAACAACTTTAATTTCTAATATACCTAATTAACTAGCTTATTTAATACATAATGATCTAATTAAGAAATTATCTGGTAGATAACAACTTAGTATTTATATCTTGGTAAAAAAAAAAAGTACAACCTGAAAATATTGAGCGATAAAAATAACATAATACATACCTTGCATAATAGCAGCATCCTCCTTACTTATATACTTTATATTTTCTATATAAATGATTATAGTCTTCAGTTTTATTTCTGAAAATTTTATTATAAGAAGTTAATTTAAAAAAAAGTTAGCAATTTTAAAATGTAAAAAAAAAAAAAATTATTATTATATTTTTCTAATTTGCTGTAACAGTGTTTTTTTATCAGTTTTTAAAGATTATAAGTTCAACTTCATTAAATTTGAGTTCTTTTGATATTGAAATCACCAAAATTAGTTCAGGAGGATCTAAGGATTTTTATGTAGACACAATACAAAAAATAAAATAAAAATTATTACCTTTGCATCTTTTGCATCATAGTGTAAATATATCTTATGATTTAGAAGCTAGTTTTAAACTTATGTTATAATATGTTAAATGTTTTAAAAGATTAACAATGTAAAAATTATTATCTAAATGCAAACAATAATTCAATGTATTTGTACTAGGTAACTATAATCACTGCTGATCAAAGATTAGTATTTAAATCGAATATAATTCCAATGCAGAATCAAACATTAATTGATTTTCGACTCTCAAGAGGTTGTGGACTTGAGTTTAAAAGACATTTTGTTGCTATAAAAAATTCAATGTCAAAAATTATATCAAAAGGACCTTTGATGTGGCCAGTTGCAATTGCCACTAATTCTGTACCATACATTTAAAAGTAATTAAATTATGTAAACATATTTAATTTATTTTGGCTTAGTGAATGCTCTCATCAATAAAAACTAAATATTTTAAAAGAATTAAAAAGACTGAAAATAAATAAATATTTGTATTATAAAAGGTTTTATTGATCACTTTTTATTAAAAACTTGTGAAATACATTAATACTCTTTAAACATGTTACCTAATTTTTATTAATTATTTTATAAATTTTAATTATAAGTTATTAAATAGTGTTCTTATTTATGTACGTATTCAATAAAATGTCAGAAGTTGATAAACTTATACATTTTTCACTTTATAATTTTATTAAGACTATTAACAATAATTGAAAAGTAACTGCTATTAAATTAAAATGATTTATAATTTTTGTTTTAAAATATTTTGATTATATAGAGTGTAATATAATACATGTTAGTTCATTGGAGGTTACAATTAAATTTTTAAATAAACTATTATTATACTGATTTTTCAAAAAATTAAGTAAGGATTTTTCTTTTGTTCATAGAATTAATATTTTAGGATCAATATCTTTGTATATTAATCCCAAATAAAAACATTTTTTATATTAATTATTAAGTCATAAATAAAATTAAAATATTAGCTAACTTTATTTAATAATTTTAGTGATAACAGTTTATTTAAAGAGTTTATTAAGGTTTTAAATTGATTTAATCAATAACACTTTAAAAAATCACTTCTTAATCCTACTATCCTATTATTGTTATTATTAAAAAAGGTTAATTCTATCTGAGCAATCCTATTGGATCTGAGCACTTCAAAAAGATGACTAGCCCTAATAATAAATTTACCTTTTACTGGTCTCTCTAAAACCCAGATCAACTTCAATTGTATAGGAACACTTACCCTTTTGCTGATTTTAATATTTCAAAACATTCCATACCATCTTCTTTTTAACCGTCTTTACAAACTCTTTCATTTTCCCCTTTTAATTTTCATCACAGGATCTTCAATTTTTCCCCCGTGTTCCTTTTATTTTTGTATATTCTAATTCTGGTTCACCACACCTCCATTATCATCAATCTATGTTATGTATTGAGACCCTCTTCTGGGATAACTCTACAATCTTTTACTCACTTTATGTTCTTTCTCTTCTATATAAAATAATCATCCTGTAATCTATTACTCCCATTCTTATAAGTTATATTATGTTCTTCCCTTTTTCTAATATAAGTATTAACCACAGCAAGATACTGCAAAATTCAGGATTCTTTCTCCAGCCTCATTCTTCCCACTAAAACCATACCCTCCATGTACTCATTTGTATCCTCTCCACTCTTTACCAATATGTCCTTTCATATCTCCACCTATCACTGCATTCTCATTACCCTTTACATCACCTCTTAAATCTCTCTCTCTAAACCCCGTTTTGTCTATTTTATCACATCTTATTTATGGTGCATTAGCGCACTTATTACATTCAACACTTTTTCCTCGAATATTAATTTTACGACCATAATTTTCTCACTTTTCCTAGCTACTTCTACTACTTTACTTTTCATCTCCTCATCCATTATAATCCCTACATCATTGTTTGTACTAGACTTACCTGAGTATATTATTTTATAACTATCACCTATTTCCCTTTCCACTTAGTTTCCTGCACACAACAAATGTTAACTTTTCTCCTCTTTGATTCTTCTACCAGTTAATGTTCCAACATTCCATATATCTATTCATACTTTGTATCTATTTTCCTTCCTTATAGACAAGTTCAGCCTAGAGTTGAGTGATGATGTCCCTCACCGTTGACACTGCAAACGTTGGGTAGACCTGTACATACGACTGGTGAAACAGCTACTGCACAAGTTGTCCGGTTGGTATCAAACACTATTCTTTAGGTCTTCTTCGTTTTTAACTACATTATTTCCTCTCACCTGTTGTCCCCACGTACATCCGTGATGAGACAGTCGCCTCTTACGATTAGCAGAGATACCGTTTGATAAACTGTCACTTAAAGTAATAAAAGACTATAATAATCTAATCACATAACAAGTATAAAGTAGTGGTATATACTTAAACAAATTTATAATTAAAATTATAGTCTAGAAAACTAATACTTATGTGCTATTGTAAGCAAATACCCTTTAATTTTTATTGAATTATATTTACTCACAATCAACATATAATTTAAAATAAAAAAATAATTTCTTGTGTTAAAAAGTATTTATTGAGTAATATACTAATAATACAGAATAGTATTATTCTTTTGCAAATTACTATTGGAATAAAATCAGGTAGCACAAAAATTAACCCTCATGAGTTTTCTTGGGGTGAATTTACTACACCTCAAATTCGGAAGAGTTTACTAACATATATGATATGTTGTACTAACTCCCAAATGTCCATTACTGTATGAGAAATACGGTTTATTTTTAAGTTTGATTCATGTACTATTCTCGCCGAAATAAAATTTCCGGGTCTAATAACATACCCGATATCGTACTAAATGCGAACGAATACCATCACCGTTCACAACACTTCTGCATAATGGGAAGCTTCTAGTACACTAGTTGCTTCAGTTTCAAAGAGTATAGAGTATTGGAATCCATTTTTTTGTCTAGCTTAAAGAGCCTCCAAAGTTATTTTAATTAACAATTCAAAATTAGTTTACCAATTAGGCGGAAACTACAAGACTAGGTTTCATTTTCTTTATATATCCCTATTCCTATTCATGCTCCCCTGTTAATACGCTCCCGACTGCAACGTTCTTTTCACGATGTAGCCGATTAAAATGACACAAGTTTTTTTTCGATATAATGGTTTTTCTACTTATGAATTTCGGCAAGCAGATGTGCTTAGTTTGGGTTTGATTAATACGTCTGTTATTCTACTAATGGCAATAACGAACAAAAAGCTTATGCTACACCGCCCTTTGCCTGCTCAGAACAACGATAAGGTATAATTAACCCAATAACCACTAGATATTTTTGGCATTATTACTTTAAAACTTATAAATTCCCTGGTCGTAAGGAGATTAATTATCGCTTTAAAATTAAACGTAGAATATTTTAAAATCGTAACGTTGAATTATACACAATGGACATGTAGTTGGAGACACTTAATTAAAAACAATTATTAATATTTCTAAGGATTTAGTCGACAATGATAATTTTAAGTCAAAACTAGTTTTTACTTATATATTTATTACTTAAAATAAAAGTAACAGTATAATTGATGTTGTGGCGTAGTTTTATCTTGTAAAAGTATTACTATTAGTTTATAGGTAGGTAAATATTTCAAATTTAATAAAAAAACTAATATTAATTTCTCTTTATTAACGAATCAACATAAAATAAACAGATATTTAGTTGTTCATTCGACAATGAATTTATTCATACAAATATATTTTTAAACTAGTTTCTAAACTAATAAAACTTTAAAGCTATAACAATTATCACATTAAAAAATGCTCGATATTTTTAAATTGAAAAATTTAACAATTATCTTTGGCACAGTGATTATATAGTATTGATGAAAATTAAACAACAGGAAACCATTTGACAAGTACAAAAATTAGATGTTTTTTTTAAAGAAGCAAGCTTAAAAACAAATATTATTACAATTCAATGATTATCTAAAATCCATTAATTAATGAATTGAAATTAAAATATACTTGTTATCTAAACTATGATGTAAAAAGCTATATTCAAATAAAATAAATAATACATTTTTATTTAATTTTAAATCGGAGATTCAACATTATAAATATTATTTCTTGGCTTATTAAATTTAACAAAAAAAGAATCAAAAAAATATGTTTATGAATAGTTATGATAAGTTTTCTTAATTTAAATTTAACATATATATGTTTTTGTTCATCATATTGATATTTTATTCAAACACACTTGTTTCATTTTGGCAAGACAATATTAAACTATCTAAATAAAATTATATTCTAATTAAAAAAATTATCAATACAATCTATACATGAATGATCAAGTTTAGCTATCTTAAATGATATGACTCCTGCATTAATTTCATTTTTATTTGTAATTATAATAAAGTATCTAATAAATTTAAAAAAAAAATCAATATTTTAAAAATATTTTGCTGGATTTATTTTTATTTATTATATTTTAAAAATCAACCTTTACATAAATATATATACAGACATTTAAATAAGCTTGTCTCTTCATAGAAATAAAATAAATATAGTGATTTTAATTAATTTAAGGTATAGGAACAAAACAAAAGTATTATAATTGACTATGTTTTATACTAAATAAAGTTTAAATTAATAAAAGTGCATGCAACAATGTGCTCATAAAATTTTAAAATTAAAATTTAGACTATGGATTACTCATGGTTGAATCATGTCTAGTTTTTCTCATTCCAGAAGCTTCTCCACTTTTTAGCATCTTTTGGCTTAAATGCATTGTACGATTAAAATCAATAGCTGTATAACCTGGTATTTCTGTTGGAGAAGTTGGTAAAGATTCACTTTTTCTTTTAGAAGAAGAAACAGAAATTTCAACTACGGTATAAGTTGGTACGTCTTTGAGTAATTCAAATGGATCATTTAAAATATCATCATCTTCATCTTCATTATCATTTAAGATATTAGCATAAGTGGTTTTAGGAAGAAACACAGTATCAGGATCAAGCATTAAATCTGGAGGTTGATTTTGATTATTATTGGATTCATTACTACATTTTATACCATTAAAACTAATTTCATCATAAACTTTTTCAATGGTTCGAGTACTAGTACATGATTGCTCAGAATAATTGCACATTTCAGATGACATATCTTTTGCTGCGTTTGTACTATTATCATTCTAAAAGTTGTAATATAGTGTCATACATATTAAAAAAATTAGATAAAAAAAAAAAAAATCATATTAGAAATCAGAGATGAAATAACCCAAATGGAAGATATTAAACAATTTTTGGATAGACTAGGCTTATAAATTTTGTAATTATAAAAAATACACAAGGATGTGTATAATTAAATATATAAACACTTTTGTAATAATAGGGTTAGCATAAGCTTATGATTTTTAAATTTCTTTGATTACTTCTAGTTCTTAAGTAAATGTAAAACATTTTTCTATAACTAGCTATGAAAAAATTTAATAATATTGAAACATTTTCAGAGAGATTATAAAAACTTCAAAGAGAAGTGTAGCAATTTATAATGAGAACTTTTTAATAACATGTTGAGAAATGCTCAAAAATTGGAGTGAAAGTTTCACAGCTAATAGCTTTTTAAATTTTAATATATAAAAAGCAATATTTTTAACAGTGATACAAACAACAATTAAAATAAGAAATACCCAAAAGTTACAATGATTTATAATTTTAAAATTCCCAATTATTTCTCAGTTTTCAAAACTTAAGATAATATTGAATAATCCATATTTTAAAATATGTGTTAATAATTACTTGTAGTTTTCCTTGGACAGCATTAAAGATATTTTTGGCATTGTTACTTTTAAATGCAAATATTCCTTGACCATAAGGAGAAGAACGGCCAGCTTCAAAACAAAACATAGAATCTTCAAAACCATAACGTCTAACTGTATGCAATGGCCAAATAATTGGAGGCTCACTATTTTTATGAAGTATCAAATCATAAGCAGTAATTTCCATTTGCCCATGATATTTTTCATTGCCTGTATCATCTACATTAATAACCTTAAATTATTTTAACAAAAAAAAAAAAAAAAACGCCTTAATTATTATTTACAATTTAATAAAAAAAAGTTATTAGAAGAATTACTTTAAACAGGGTTGGAGCAATAGTTTTTTTGTTGCTGTAAACACAGCCCATTTTGATTTACATGGTTTAATAAAACTTATCTAACTTAGTTAATAATTACACAGACATATTTTGTGTTTCATTTAAAGTAGGTATCAACATTATTTTGGTTAAAACAAAAAGTATAAAAATCACATTTTATAGATAATAATAATTTCTCAAGAAATTAAATCACTTGAAAGTTCAATGAAATTTCCTTAGTAAAAAGACGAGTTAGCCTATCGATATATCAGACATAACAGAGTGCGTAAAATTGGATACGCACAATAAAATTCTTACCATGGTGTAATTATCACTCAGACTAGAATTATCAAAAATATCAACATAATTATTAATCATGGGATAATGCCAATAATACAAAAAGTCAAAATTACCGACCTACTTTTACCTCGAATTCATTGTTGTTAATAACAGAAAGTATAATAATTTCAATACAATGATGTTAAAAATTAACAATTAAAAGTTTTCTGCCAGGGCTAGATGAAAACCTATATGGGCCCAGGATGGTACCTTGAAATGGTTCTCCCTATGTAAATAATCACTACAATAAAAAAGTGATGAAAAGCAAAAAACACCAAAAAAACTTTGTCATTAATCCTGTAGCCTAATATTTGTGATGGACCCTCTTGTCCCCAATAATTTGGGCTTGTTTCTAAAAAAACTAGACAATTTCATTTTTAAATATATTCTAAGAAAAATTATATAATCATGCCCGTTTAGATACTTGATTAAAAGTTAGTTTTAGTCTCGAAAAATATACTTGCGATAAATGCTGAAAAGACACCTATCACAAACCAAAAAATAAATTTTTTTGAGATGGGTGTGGTATTTCACTATTTTTGTTAGCGTAAGACCTATAGGTGCTATTAGGGAGCTAGAAAAGGCTTAACCTCACTACACAATGAATTAACCCCTAAAAAATGTATATTTATTTTACCTTCTCTTATATCTTACAAGCGTGTCAACCAAATTTAATTAAATGCAACATCCATATTTAGCTAACTAAAAAAAAATGACTGGTCATTTTTCCCCAAAAATTACAAATTTAAAAATCGCTAATTTTCGATATTTTTTCATTTTTGTTTACTTAAAAGTGCCCAACTTTTTCAAAAATGAATAAATCAATGTATATTTTTTTTTATATAGATACCTTAGATATTTACCTATCATTTTATATATTTTTTTTTATAAATTTGACCCTTTCCCTGTCCACAGAAGGGGATTCAAAATGACAACTTTTTCACAAAAAATTAACTTTTTCAACATAACTTTTGAAAATGTTCCGGAAAGACTGACACTTTTATATATATCTTAAATTAAAGCTAATGTAATATACTTTAATTTGAAAAAAAAAAATTTGACCTCTGGACTTGTCTTCATGGTGAAAACGGACATCAAAGTTAAAGAAAAACGTACGATTTCCGTGAAAAAATTCTCGATTTTATATGTTACATTACTTAATTTATATTTTATATAACTTTTGGAAAAATGTATTATTATTTTTTTATAATAAATATTTATATACTCCTTTCATCTGGCACACTTTTTTTGTAAATCGGATCATACCCCTTTAACAAGGGGGGTCAAAACTTTAAACATGCGTATTGTTACTAAGATATTTTCAATTTAATTTTTGAAAGTATTCCGGAAATACTGACACTTTTATATCTTAAATTAAAGCTTATGTAATATACTTTAATGTGAAAAAAAAAAATTTGACCTCTGGATTTGTCTTCATGGTGAAAATGACTACCGTATTCAAAAATATGCTATTTTTGTGAAAAAATTCTTGATATTATATTTTACATTTTTTAACATTATGTTGCTATAACTTTTTAAAAAATGCATGAATCAACTTTATTCTTTAATGATAAATACTTTATATATACTTCTTTCATTCGACATACTTTTTTTTAAAATCGGACCATTTCCCTTTATACAGGGGGGGTGCAAACCTTTTAAAATGCGTATAGAAAGTAGAACTTTTTCAACTTAACTTTTGAAAATGTTCCGGAAAGACTGACACTTTTATATATATCTTAAATTAAAGCTTATGTAATATACTTTAATTTGAAAAAAAAAAATTTGACCTCTGGACTTGTCTTCGTGGTGAAAACGGACATCAAAGTTAAAGAAAAACGTACGATTTCCGTGAAAAAAATCTCGATTTTATATGTTATATTATTTAATTTATATTTTATATAACTTTTGGAAAAATGTATGGATCAATATTATTATTTTTTTATAATAAATATTGATATACCCCTTTCATCTGGCACGCTTTTTTTGTAAATCGGATCATACCCCTTTAACAAGGGGGGTCAAAACTTTAAACATGCGTATTGTTACTACGATATTTTCAATTTAATTTTTGAAAGTATTCCGGAAATACTGACACTTTTAAATATATCTTAAATTAAAGCTTATGTAATATACTTTAATGTGAAAAAAAAAAATTTGACCTCTGGATTTGTCTTCATGGTAAAAATGACTACCGTATGCAAAAATATGCTATTTTTGTGTTAAAATTCTGGGTTTTGTATTTTATTTTATTTTAAAATACCTGACAAGGGGAGTACAGATTTTCATAAATATTATATAAATTAAAATTGATATAGTATAGATAGTTAAACTTATTTAAATATGTTTGTTTCTTTTAAGTCGAGAAAAATAACTTTGAAATTTGAACTAGCTTAAATAGCCAATTTTTCAACCGCCGGAAGCAACGTACGGTTGCCGAGTTGGTAAAATTTATGTTTTACACGCTTGGGGTACGAGGTTCCAACCCGCATATGGCAATGAATTTTTTGCATTTTTTCTTAATTCTTTTTAAGTTAGTATAAATTTTAACTCGTTTGATTTTTATCACATTTAGATTCAATAACTTCAATAAAGATCAAGGATCCCATCACTTTAGTCGCCCCTTGCAAGAAGAAATTTCTTATTCGTATTAAAATTATTTTACTATATTTTAAGTTTTCGCTTCGATGCAAAGCCGAGAAGATATTTTTTTGTGACTATCATTTATTTTCTCTGCTCTAACTTGACCTACTTTTTTCAACAATACGTCAAATTACTACAATTCGTATCTAGTTGAAGATATTACTCTCAAAAATTGAAAAAAAAATTCTAATTTATCAATTAAACAGTTAGTTATTACATCGTCTCCATAAAGACAATTAAAATCATTAATTTCTAATGTTTTCAAAATATTTATTAACGAATGAAGTTTGATATGATAGGTTTCAACTACAAAATTAAATCATTTTACTTTGTAATTTAATAATTTTATTACTCTGTTTGTGTGTGCTACTATTAGACTATAATATTCAAATTTTTTTCTAACGTGTTGCTATATAAATCATTTCTAAAAAAAATGATTGTTTTTTCTCCTGAATTAACAATTGATTTTTACAAATATAATCAAATTTTATAATAAACTCAATTGAGTAAATCTTTTTAACAACTTTGTTTTGATTGGTACATTTAGTTAAAGTAAATCATTAAAATTAATTAAGTTCTCAATATTTCAATTATAGAATCTTTTCAACAAACAACAAAAGTTCCTAGGAAATTATTACTATTACTTCTATTTAAGTTATCTATTACCATAAAAATGCAAAAAAATATTGAGCTTTTCTGATAAATTTACAATAAATAGTAATTATAAAACTTTCTGACTGCATATTGATCTTAACGATACAATTTTTTTAATTGTCATAAAATTTTCTATTTAATTATGTCAATGTCAAACTTACCAATTGAGCTAAAAGTTATGGTAAAATAAATTTTTTTTTTTTTTTATAAACATTTACAACAATCAACTTTAAACGATTAACAAAATTGGTTAAATATGTCATTTTCCTTATTTTTAACTTATTAATAATCAAATTAATATTAAATATTATATCAAATCAGTATTAATTTAAAACAATTTTTTTTGTTCTTAATTATTTTTTTTTATATGTAAAAACTATTTTTTAATAATATTAAAACTTAGAAGTTATAGAAAAAGTCTAATTGCACATTTTAAAACATCGCGAAAAGTTGATTTAGAATAGTATATTTTTGTTTCTGATGGAAGTTCCTTGTAGTCCAGTGTATAAAACTTATAACTTTGTTAATTGTTATAACTTTATCAAAAATGACCAAATCAGTATATTTTTTTTTATTTAGATGCATGTCTTTATCTATCATTTGGTTTTTTTTATAAATCTAACCCTTTACCTGCCCACAAGAGGGATTCAAAATATTAACTTTTTTTTTTTTAGTTAAAGTAAATCATTAAAATTAATTCAGTTCTGGATATTTCAATAGTAGAATCTTTTTAAATATCAAAAATTACTTAGAAATGATTACTATGATTTCTATTTAAGTGTTCTATTACGATAAAAATGCAAAAAATAATGAGTTTTTCTGATAAATTTACAATAAATAATAATTATAAAACTTTCTGACTGCATATTAATCTTAAAAATAACATTGTTTTAATTCTCATAAAATTTTCTATTTAATGATTCATTCTAGTCAACGAAGGAGTAATTTTGCAGAATAGCAGAAAAAATTCCCAACAAACTTTTTTTTTTTTTGTTTTAATTAGGCAATTGGTGGATTATTCCAAAAGCAACATCAACTCTTATTTCTTTAATTATATCATGATTAGTAGTTCTTTGATTTTAAAATATAATATTTGAATATATACTAATTATAATTATTAAATTTAGTATGAAATTGATATTTAATATTGTAATTTAAACGGAGAAATTATAAAAATAATAAAGAAGTTATATTTTGCTTTACTTTTACGTGTATAAAAATTTAAAGGGCTTGATACAATAATTTTCAATAAAAACTGTTTGTTACTATAAAAAAATGCACTGGACTACAAGGAACTTTCATCAGAAGCAAAAATATACTTTTCTAAATCAACTTTTCGCGTTGTTTTCAAATCTGCAAGTAGACTATTTCTATCACTTCTAATTTTTTATATTATTACTAATTATATATATAAAATAATAATTAAAAGAAAAAAAAATTTGTTTTCAAATTATTACTGATTTGATTTTTAATATGTTAAAAATAATCAGTCCAAATTTTCAATTTTAACCTATTTTTTTGGTTCTTTAAAGTTGATGAAAAATTTTTGATAAAGATTTATGAAAGTTTATAGCAAAAAAAATTGAATTAATATATTCAATATTTTCCATAACTTTTAGCTCAATTACAAATTTAAAATTGACATCTAGGCCAGTCAACAAAGGAAAAATTTCTTAAAAA